CGGGCCACGGGGACAGCCAGGAAGGGCGGCCCAAGCGCGCTGCGCTTCTGGCAGCGACCCGGCTCCTCAGGCGGCTTCCCGCTCCCGCGCTGGGGCTGGGCACCCATGGAAGGGCAGCTCAGAAGCGCAGTCAGGTTCCCGAGGGACCAAACGTTCCTGAGTTGTGGAAGAGTCCCATTCCTCTAAACCCAAACTGCCCGCACTGCGTCCTTCCAGGAGCCCGGCGGCTGAAGCTAGCTGCCCTTACTGTGCAAAGCCTGTGGGCCTGTGAGGCTGCCTACTGCGAAGAGTCATGCAAACCGCCACAGTCAAGTTTGTCTACATGACCTGATGACGATAACACGTTTGTGTGATAAATCAGCAGGTGAAGTGGGCAACAGCTTTGCAAAAACCCCACCTCACCGTGGTAATGCTCTCTCCAGAAACCATTTTTCCCAAAGTCTTGTGCTATGCTGACTTGCTTGGTCCTAGAGATGCAATGTCTGAGTGACAGCAATCAGAAAAACCAAGCAGACTTTGGTTCTGCTGGAATGGAAGTGGAGGGAAAACTCATATCTTCAAAGCAAAAGCCAACGGGCTGTTGTGGCACCTGGAAGTGCTTTCCAGACCTTCTCCAAACCCTGCTTTTTGTCCTTTACAACTGAGGTAGCACAGAAGGGTCTTCCTAACGTTAGAAGGGTCTTCCTAACGTTGGGGTCCATTACACTTGGTGCTGTGCTTACAGTGGCAGTCCTTGCCTCAGAGAGTTTAAAGGCTAAAACACATTAAGAAGACATTACAATGTCTAAAAGATGCTGTAATCACAGCAAGTGAGAACTGTAGTAGGATACAATGATCAAACTAATACACATTAAATTCTAGTTATGCCACTTGTAATAATAAAATATGCAATGTTGTAGAACTGTCACAAACTTTATTATTTACATCAGCATAAACGGAAGCAGGAGCCAACCCCCTTGGTACAGAAGTGTGGGTATGAATGCTAGAAAAAAACTGCCATTAGACTGTTACAGTTTAATACCCTCTACTTACCTGGGGAAAATGAGTGTGCAATTGCCTGTCCTTCTAACCTCATCCTAAGTCAAGAGGAAAACCTTTCCTGACATCAAGAAGAAGGCAGAGCACACTCTACATATAGAGGTATTTCAGAGATACACAAGAAATCAGGCAAAGGGAAATCATACTCTGAAGAAAAACACATTGAAATCTAGAAACACTGTCACCTGACAGACTTAAGCTGCAGCAGCTCAATGTGAAAACTAAAAAACTCAGGGGGAAAAACTAAAATACTGAAGAAGTTTCCCAGTTCTGCTGTTAGTAAACAGCCTTGTTTCTGATCAAGTCTGGAACAGTTTACGCGGAGAATAGTTTGAAATAGTGCATATGCAGACAGATAGATTTCTGCTCCATGCAACAGGATTTGCTGCTGCTGTAATGTGAGAACAGAAGTCGGGAACTTGGAGGTCAGAAAGCTCAACCTTAATTCTGTCCTTTTATGTCTGCAGGAAGGAAGGAGACGTTTTCTGAGCTGAGGATTTTGCTATCAATATGTCATCACCTAGCTGGAAAGGTCCCCATCTCCACCACACTCCCAGCTGCCTGCCACCTTCCTCTGAGCCAGGCTATGCAAGGAGTTAGCACTGAAACTGCTTGAGCTAGCCATGGATTTGGCCTGAAAGGAGTCTGGTAGTAACTGTGCAAACCACTGGCAGGCCGTGGTGGGAAGGGACTGCCGGAGCAGGAGGATGCGTCTAACTTGCAAGTGGAGGCTGGGCCAGTAATCCCCTCAGCCAGTAAAGGCACAGTTTTGCTCTACAAATATCATCTTCTCCTGGATTTGGCCACACTGGTTTAAAAAACTCTGCTGTTGCAAGCTTGCCCCAGACCCACTTTGGGTCAGTCAACACCAGCAGTGCCATCAGTGCAATGAGCTGGCTCTGCCCAAGGCAGGGGCTGCTCAGCTGCTCTGCTGGGAGAGCTGCCCCCTCCCGCAGCTGGAAGAGAAACTGATCCACCACAACGTCCCCTGGCTTTCGGCATGGCATGGCAGGGAACAGGACAGTTCCTGACCCACGCAGGCAGAGGCACTCCTGGACACTAGAAAAGGGCAGATCAGACTCAGGTTCTTTATGCCTTTCTGTATAAAATGCTTCTCTCTCTCTGTCAGCTAACCTGCGCAATGCTGCTGAGTTTGTTTAAGGTGACCTGCATGATGACAAATCCATAAGCCAAACACCCACCTGAAACATGCTGAACACCACTCCTGGGCTGGGGAACAGAGCAATCTCCCATCTGGAAGGGCTGAGGGTCCTGGGACGAGCTGGAGAGGTCTCTGTTGGCCGTACCGCACTTCTCAACGTCTTTCCTCATCTGCTTCAGGCTGTAGAGTCCAAACTAGTGACAATGTGAGTCTCAGTCTCCCCTCCAGGCTACACAGCGCTGAGGACAGACAGCCGTGAGATAAAGGTGGTTCTTCTGGCAGCCCCCACCGCCTGGAGCAACACGGTGCCTCCGACCCCTGGGGCTGCAGTCCCTAGGGCCACCCACGGGAGAAGACTGGGGAGGCAAGGAGGGGTCAGCCCTGCAGTGGTGAACAAGCGTTAGCACTGGGAGCAGCCAGGGCAGACGGTGGCCAGCTGCCTTCCCACCAGACACCACCAAGGGAGCTGCGTCACTCGGGCAAGCTGAGATTTCCCAACAGTCTCCTCTTGGGAAATCCACCTGGATCTCAGGCTTGCTCCCAGAGGCAAACATACGTCATCCCAGAGTCTGGAAAAGCCCTGCAAGGCACCTCGTCTCGCTCTTCTCTGAGAAACGCCCGGGCCGCAGCACCACGCCCCTCTACTACTCATGGGTTTCGTCTACTCACAGCTTCCCACCGCTTCCAGCTGGAGCCCTCCTCCCTGCTGCGCAGTGCCAGCAGGCGTCGAGGCTGTGCTGCACACCCAGCCCCTGCCCTCTCTGCAGCTGGATCCTCCCCTTGACTCTCTCTCCTCACTGCCAGTCTCTGCGCCCTGCCCACGCGCAGAAACACACTGCTTGGTCCTGCCCAGGCTGGCTGGTGTTTGCCTCACCACCTCTGCAAGGATCCCAGTCCCATAAGCAGGCAAGCTGGGTTTCCTATGCATTTTTTCTGACGTTCGCCATTCCCCAAGAGCATCTCCATCAGATTCAGGGGTGCCTTCGTCTGTCACACAGGCAATCTAAAGGTTGCCGTGTGTCACTAGAGCACGCCCAGCACAGCCCTGAGCCTGCAGCTACCTGTGTGTGTGTTTGCGTGACCTGGGGCTGGCCCAAGCAAAGCCAAGGTGAGACTCAGCATGGATCCAAACCTGGTTCTCCTGCAGGCTTCCCTGCAGAAAGCTCCAAGGAAGCAGAGAGGCTGTTGGGAGCAGAAAGCAAGTTGGGGAGGAGGGGAAAAAATAATTTACCAAATTTCCTGAACCTGCAGCTGTCCCACATGCCCAGAGGAGATGCCATTTTAGCTGGCAGCAGCACACATGCTCAAGAGACAGCAGGCCCTCGCATACCACTCATTTATAGCAAGCCGAGTGGGAGACACGTCCCATTCTCCCCTGGTGATGACTCAAGAGCTGCTTCTCTGGGGAGGAACGATGAAATAACATTGAATTTTAGCTGTTGTCAGAGCAGCTTAGAGCATGTTGCTAGGCACCAGCTGCAGGAATTGCCTGCAGGTGCTTTCGCAGGAGCGGCTGGTCCGGTTTACTGGGCTGTCCCAGCACAGCCTGAGTGCCAAACACCTCTGAAACGAGCATAATCCATTCTCAGCCTGAAGGACCTATTGCACAGTCTCCCCAGGATTAAGGGTTTAAACTGAGAGGCTGTGGCACAGCTGGGGGAAGGACAGTGGGCAGACTCCAGAGCCGCACTTGCCTGCCTGATACATGTTAGAGGGCTCTCTGGGGCGGTGGTACGCAGCCTGCCTGCAGACATGGCAGTCTTGCAGGTGCAAATGGGAGCTTTCTCCCCATCCTGCCCTGTCTTTCCTTATTAGGGTGACTGAAGTCTTCAAAGGATTAAATGGCTAAGTGGTTTTCTTCTGCTGCTGGAACTGAAGCTCTGTAGACAGCTGAAGATTTTATGTGCAAGCGTTTGCTCAAACGGACTTCTATCGTCTGGGTCTGTATAGACACTCTGTGATTTGCATCTCGCTGTTATGCAAGAGCACAGCAAGACAAGGCTGCTTTTAAAGCCTGGGCTAGATACCGACTGACTCTCGTGGAGGCTGTAGTGCTGCTTAGAGTGCCAATACAGCTGCAGGCCCCAGGGCTGCCCCACGGCAGAGACGGCTCTGTCTACAGCCAGCACACCGCCTCCAGCCTCACCCAGAGGACCTGTCTGCCTGCCTACTGCCTGCTCTGCGGTGATTTTTGACCTGCCTCCCTAAAATTGAGACCAGCTTTGCTACTGGGGAGCATGCATGCGCATGTTAAATGCCAGTATCGTGAAAATGTGTTTCCACACAAGCTTTAAAATGCTTTTTCTCACCTGACCTGGGCCTCTCTAAGCATCTCTGGGGTTCTGGTCCTCTTGGTGGCATTTCCCAATGGCTCCTGAGGCCATCAAGGCCACCATAGAGAAAGAATTTTTCCACACCCCCAGACTCTAGCTCCCAAACCTTTTGTCCTAGAAAAAGAGGAATTGCTCCAGCTGTCGCTGTGATGCCCATCACGTGTCTTGCAGAGGTAATCACACCAGCCACTGAACCTGTACCGCTCCCTCCAAGGCACAGAGCTGTGTCTGCTTTGCGGGTACAAACAGCCAGGCACTTGGCTCAAGCAAGGAGGAGCCCCCAGTGACGCCTACGCGATTGGTGATACCTTTCTTCAGTCCACACCACTAGTGCTTCTTCTGCATGGTGCAGCATCCAAAGATCAGGTTACCAAAGACAGTTTGGGATGAGAGAAAGTACTCCACCCTCACAGAGGCATCAGTGTCAATTCGGAGTCTCACCTGGAAAAATGCTGTGTAGGCATTTTATTCTTTAATGTAATAAAATAAGACTGATTCCTCAGTGTGCTGCAGATACTTGCTAGGAAACGCTCCTATCAGCACTGGCTGTAGCTTTTAAAAGAGGATGTTTGTCCTTGAGGCTTAACTGATCTTTCAAATCGCAAGCCAGCTCCTCTTCTGTGGGGCAAAGCATCACTGTGTGACACTGCTTTGAGTGAAGCAGTGCAGCTTTACGCCTTGGAAGCCCTGCACAGGCAGAGCTGGCTCCTGGTTGCACGTGGCCTTGCGTATGATTGCCCTGGTGTACAAAGTGTGCTAAGTACACAGCGGAGTTTATTTGCATCCTTTGCAGCTACATGACTCTGGCTCTGCCGGGCAAGATTTACAGGTTCTTGGAAGCAGGCAAGTGATTTCTTCCCAGGGTTTCACATGGTTGCTTCCCATGCAAGTCCAGACTAGATGCATAGAGAAGAGCTGCGCTTAATTAGGGATTCTGCTGTGAATTCCCACAGCACCAAAGACGCTGAGTTGCAGCTGTCATTGTCCTTTCCCGGAAGGCAAACCCCCTCTAACACAGGGTCCTGCACACACCCTTGGATGAGGCTGCATCAGCCCATCGCTCCATCAGGATGGGTTTGGATGCAGTTTAGCCACGTGGTCGCAGCCCACCCTGCCCAGCTCGGGAGAAGTTTTGGACTATCGTGGGCTGCCTCACCAAGGACTCGGGTACCTCAAAGACATGGTAGCTATCAGCAGGAGCTGGTGTGAGACCCAGTGACAGCAGCACCTACAGGAAATCCCAGCTCAGATGGGGACCTGAGCTTCTGCCACCAGCACTGTGGACTTAGGAGAGGGCGCCTGAGGCAGCAGCACCCTCCACGGGTGGGATGACTGCTACGCTTTGATCTGAACCAGGCCTGGATCTGGGGCATGATCCTTAACACACTGACGAAACTGTCTGGAACCAATCTCTGGCATCAAATCAAAACCTGGGGCTGACTCCAGACATAAAGAACCGGACCAGTTCTGCTGTCTACATTTCCACGTTCAGTCTGGCCTCCGGGCCAAGAGAAGGGCACAAAGCAGAATGTGCCATTTAATCTGGTTGGATTAATGTGTGAATTTAATTAGATTTAATCTACTTTCAATAAAATCTAGAGCACGCTGTAGAAAAACGGTGTTTAATCTTTCTCCAAGCCTCTGTGTACGCGTCTGAGCAGGGGGCCCACAGCGTAGCCACGGACAATGGCCATGAAACAAGGAGCCAAGTTTTAGCAGCACCCAGAGGATAGGGCTGAGATTGGCGTCCTGTCATCTTTGGATTTGTGCCGGTCTGGTTCAGAGGTTCTCCTGCCCCAAAACCTCTCTGTGTGACAGAGGAGAGCATGGGGAAGGCAGAGGAATGTGGAGAAGGCGTGGTCACGGGGGCTGGTACCTGCTGGCCCCAGCCCTGCTCTTGGGCTTGCTTGAGAGGCAGCAGAGCTTGTGTCGATGGGGTCCCCACGTTGCCCTCAGTGCCCTCAGGAGCTGCAGAGGGCTGTGCTGCTCCGCTGGCTGCAGGGGAGTTCCAGCGACTGCAGGGCGGCCCTTGCCGAGCTGAGAAACACACTCCCGTGGGCCAGGTGAGTGCGTCGAAATACAGGCGCCCGCTGCAGTGCCATCGAAGCGAAGTGCACGTGTCCTTTGGGAAAAGCGCAGTGCCAGGTTGCTGCAGGGAACTGCTCATCGAGAGCACGGCTGGGTCCTCCGGGAAGACTGCACAGCGGATTCAAGTGCTGTCCTGGTCACTCAGGCCACGTCAGCTTGCTCTGCGCACCCAGTCAGGCACAGACAGCACAGTCCTGCACTGGCTTTGATCGCATTTAGGGGGTTTGACAAAAGAAGGCACTAGTGGCTCATCACAAGGAAAACCAAAATCATTTGGAAACATTAATCAGGGGGATATCACCTATTTTGTGCAGTTCAAGTAACGTTAACCTGTGAGAAAGAGAGAAATAGCAAGAGAAGGAGAGAGAGAAGGCATTTCATTCCTTTCCTGATTCTGCCTGCCCTGGATAAACGCAGCCTGGCTGTAGCAGAGGGCTGGAGGGTTAGCTGCCCAAACCAAAGCCAAATTCATTTGAGATCCAGGGATTAGGATACAATCATTTGATCTCAGATTAAACAGTGGATGAGCACCACAAAAGATAGCTTAAAACATTTGGAAAGGTGTTAAGGAAAATCTAGGAGGATTAAATAACAAAATAGCTGCATTAAGCTGGAATGCCTCCCTGGATCACAGGAAGCCGGGCCCCGAAGGGCCAGCCGGTGGGGACAGGCGAGCACGCTCGGTGCCACGGCTCTGGCTCCACGGCGTTTGGGGGCTGAGCAGCTGACTGTATGGGAAGAGCAGGGCC